GGGTCAGTGAGGCCATCTTAGTCCACAGAGAGCAGCACTGCTAACCCTAGTAAAAGCCATGCTCCTCCAGAAGTTCAAGTCCAGCAGAGGCTCCTTGAGAGAAAAATGAGCGGTCTCTTCTTACAATTTACAGCTTCAGAAACCAAATCGCCATGGGTTGCAGGTGACTTGATGGCACATAACAATGTAACAACAATGAGTCAAAATTGACTTGACAGAGGTCAGCGAGTTCAGTTTGTTTCCTGTTTGATTGTAATAATAATGAGGCAGGGTGCTGAGCAGTGCAACCAGGAGAGCAGAGAACAGAAGCTTTGGAAGCTGACCTCTGTGGCAAGTAGGGCTGAGAAAGTGGGCTTCTCAGACGGGCAAGAATGGGGACCCTCACGACAGCCCAGCCCCACCGCCTGACTTGAAGTTCTTCTTCAGAAACACTTGTGGCCCGGGCCCATTTCAAGTCGAATTTGCTGCGTGCATAAAGAGAGGCTGTGCATTGAAGTAAACGTAGGCTGATAGCTGAATGGGGACAGCGAGAACAGACAAGACCATCAAGGAGCAGAACTGAGGTTAGGTGATCTGGAGAACGGGGACCCTGAGGAAGCTGGCGCAATGGGTGTGGGGTCTGGCACTCCTGGGCTCCATCTGGGCCGCCTTCACCATGGGCCCCACCTTGGCCTGGGGCTACCCTTGACCCGCCTGGATGTCCTGCCTATTTGCTGGTGACTGTTGGCTGTTTTGCCCTTGGCACCATGGGTTACCACGCGGCCACTTTTCATGCATGACTGAGGACGAGGCTCTGGAGCTGCAGACTCAGATTCAGGAGGCCCGGGTCGATTTAGCCTTCAAGAGCCTGCACTTCTAACATTCTCCCCCATCCCTGCCCAGGCAGCTTTCTCTCTTTGAGCCCCCATTAAAGAGCAAACTTATTTCATAAAATAGAAATAATAAAAGTAGAATTTGCCATAGTAAGTGCTACCTGGTATCACAGAACCCACTGCACTGAAAAGCTACTATGCACCTTTGATTTTTCTTTTTAATTACCATATGAAATGGAGAAACTAAAAAACGCAAACTCTTTGCCATCAAGGTGGACCCAACTCAGAGCTGACCCTCCCGTGGGTTTAAGAGACTAAATCACACAGGAGATTGTCCATCTTTCTCCCTTGGAGCCACTGGGTAGACTCAGAGATGCCCCAGCTTTGGGCTGGCAGTGCAGCTCCTTACAGACGATACTACCAGCACCCTATCTGAATAAGGACCTTGCTCACAATTCTCTTGAGAGAGTTCAGTGTTACCTTAGGGCTCCCTACCTCTCCTTTTGCAAGATACTTTCTTTGCATAAACTTGCTTTAGCAGCATCAGGATTGGAGGAAAACTTCTCCACAACCTGCACCCCTCAGATATCACAACATTGCTTGTACAAAGTGAGGAGGATTTGAAGCACTTTCTGCAGAAGATCAAAGACTACAGCATTCCATATGAGTTACACCTCAACATCAAGAAAATACAAATCCTCACCACTGGACCAATTATGATCGTCGGGGAAAGATCCATGTTATCAATGATTTCATTTAGACTCCCAACACTCCCAGGAAAAATAGTCAAGAAATCAAAAGATAGGTTGCAAGAGGGAAATCTGCTGTTAAAGAGCTCTCCAAGTTCTAAAGAGAAAGGCTGTCACTTCAAAGACTAAAGTATGCCTGATCCAAGTCAACGTTTTTCAATGGCTTACTATCACCTGAAAGTTGGACAATGAGTAAGGATGACAGAAGAATCATCAATGCGTTTAAGCTGTGAGATGTTGGAGAAGAATATTGAATATGCCACCATACTGGCAAAAGAACAAACCAATCTGTCTTGGAGGAAGTGCAACCAGAATGTTCTTTAGAGTCAAGGCTGGTCAAACTTCTCACACACTCTGGGCATGCCCTCAGGAGGGGCCAGCATGCTGGGAAGGACAGAGGATGAGAGAAAAAGAGGAGGGCCCTCAACAAGAAGGACTGACATAGTGACGTAACAATGGGCTCGAGGCTATCAGAGATGGGGAGGACGGCCCAGGATAAGGGAGGTTCAGATCAGGTGTTCAGAGAGTTTCTATGTGTCAGAGTTGATTTGGCAGCACCTAAGAACAGCAACAATAACATCACTTTGTGAGAGGCCTGGCCTCTTGCTTTGTTACTCTTATTACGTGAGAGGAAAGCTTTTCATTTTAGAATAGCCTTGAAGCAGTAAAAGAAGTAAAACTTTAGACAAATGTTATAAAACTAGAAATGTAGCGGATTCAATAGACTGTGGGAATTGTTTTGAGTTTGTATTGCAATTTGTTCTTTAGCTCTGAGTAAATACTCTTTATCAGGAATATTGATATACAGTTGTTAAATTTTCCAAAAACTTCAGAACGCTTTCCTAAAATTTAGTGTAACAGCCTTTACGCCCTGTACTTACTCAAGGCTTTGTTTCTTCTTCCACTTCTCAATGTGCCTTGCACTTACTATAAAGTTTAAATTGCTTAGTGAAACATCAGTGCTTCTACTTTGAATATGGCAACAGTTTTTATCACTTTTTGTCACCATTAACTGAATTCTAGAAATAATTCTTCCACTTTTTATTTGGCTCTATGGAAAATTCTGCAACTTTTGGAGACATTTTTAGTTATCATAATTGTGGTCTGCTCCAGGTGTCTAGTGCACAGAGGCCAAGGATGCTCTAAACATCCTACAACACAAAAGATGGATCCCCACTTCACCAAAGAAGACATTCAGATGGCCAACAAGCACATGAAGAAATGTTCAAAATCCCTAGCTCTAAGAGAGATGCAAATCAAAACAACTATATAATCTCACCCCAATAAGAATAGCAAAATTTAACAGAACAGCAAACAACAAATGCTGGCGAGATTGTGGAAAAACTGGAACCCTTATTCACTGTTGGTGGAAGTGTAAAATGGTGCAACCACTGTGGAAACTGGTATGGCGCTTTCTCAAAAAGTTGCAAACAGAGATACCATTTGACCCAGCAATTCCACAACTGAGAATATACCCCAAAAATACCATAACTGACATCCAAGCAGATATATGCACACCCATGTTTATTGTGGCTTTGTTCACAATAGCGAGGAGTTGGAAACAACCTAAGTGTCCATCAACAAACGAATGGATAAAGCAGCTGTGGTATATTCACACAATGGAATACTACGCTGCATTGAAAAACAAGGAACTCATGCAATATTATTCAAAATGGGTGACCCTGGAGGACATTATGCTGAGTGAAGTATCTCAGTCACAAAAGGACAAATACTGAATGGTGCCACTGTTGTAAAACAGGACTGACATCGGGGTTGGGGGTGAGACTGAGAAAGATAGGTTCAATAATGTATACTGCATTGAAACAGAAGAGGGAGAAAACTGTTTAAAAGGGATATGTGATTAGGTATTTTTGTCATGACAGGAGTCCAGAGCAAAGGTTGCACAGGGGAGTGGACCTGGGGGAGGGTTTGTAAATCAATGAAAGAATTTTTCTTTTACTTTTCCAAGAGGGTAGTTTACTAGAGGGAAGGATTGGGAGGGGAGAAAAGTGCAACAATGAATGAATGGAAACTTAAAGTCTCTGTAAATTTTCAATGAAATTAATAATAATTTTTTGGGGGCTTCTATTTTATTAATTTTCATAAACATTTACAGAGATTTTGGGCTTCTATTTTATTAATTTTCATAAACATTTACAGAGATTTTGGGCTTCTATTTTATTAATTTTCATAAACATTTACAGAGAATAATAAATTTTTAAAAAACCTAAAAAACCAACCTCCCCCCAAAAACCCACAAGATGGATCCCAACATCCCAAAAGAGAATTATTTATTCCAAAATGTCAGTAAAATTAAGGTTGAGTAAAATCATGGCTTAAAACAAACTCATCATTCTTCCTACTTTAAATGTGAAGACATAAAAAAAGTTCTTTAAGTCTTATCTACTATATTTGTCCCTCTTTCCATTATGTTTCCTTAAAAATAAGATTGAAAAAATGTGATACAAACTAGCAAATGTGACAAACCAGTTTAATATTACCTAACTACTGAGCAGTACAGTTTCAGAGCAAGGACACTGAGAAAACAAAAATTTTTATTATGAACAAAAAATTTTTACTGTGAAAATTTTCATTTGTGAACAAAAATTTTTATTGTGAAATCTGAACACATTTTTAAATTGGAAATATACACTGGATGCTGTGATAACTGAAATAGAATTTCATATTTTAAGCAGAGGTAATTATTACCAAATACAAAAATATCCATTGTAATCACATTTCAGTTAGAGCATGAATTTTTTAAAAAAAATTTTGCACATGCATAGAATGAGGTCAACATGACAGTAAAAACATCAAAACCAACACATGGCGGTATCTAGGAATTCTTGGAGGAAGATCCTCAACCACATGGACTGACATAGTGACTGCAGCAACAGGCTCAAATACGGCAGAGATGATGAGAGAGACAGGATAGGCCAGGGTTCAGGTCTGTTGTTGTTCATAGGGTCACTATGAGTCGTCGTACTTGACTCAGTGGCACCTAACAACAAGAATCCTTGGTTATCAAGCTCAAGATCACTGCCACTGAATGAATAGAAACTGATTCATAGCTGACCCTTAGTAGGTTTTACAAGGTTGTAAATCACCCAGGAGGAGGCTATCCATCTTTTTCCTATGATGTCACTGGTGGACTCAAATTCCGAGAGAGGTATCACTTTGGGGCCAGAAGCACACCATCTTACCGACTGGCTACTAGCGCTCCTTAAAGTAGACAGAATATCTTTAAAAAGATGTTTCATTTCTGTGTTACTTGATGGCATACCAATTCAAGAACTGTACCCTTTACCCTTGCTATCTCGATAACTTTAGGAATTATCTATTCAGGCCTCTGGAAGAGAACAAATACATTCAATATTTTCTTTAATTAACATATGACTAGACGTCTTTCTCATTTTTGTTTTATAGATGCACTCTTCCATCAGTTCTTATCTTCAATGACATATGCAAGGTCCAAAATCAAATTGGCCGTCTCCACGGCCACGTGCAGACCATTAAGCTTAGCGCTGAAGCAGTCCAGAGTGAGGTGGCTGGCTAGGCTGGCAGCTGAGGGCGGAAGGCAGTTCTGTGGCATAAAAGGATGGTGAGGGCTTCTTAAGAGAGACCAGTTGAGCTCTTGCTGGCTACTGTGTAATCCACAACCACATCGTGAGAGCAAATCCTGCCAGGATACAGCAGGGGGAGAATCAGACGGGGCTGACCAGAAGTGTCCATATGTCACATCCCTGAGAACTTCCCCTCCATTGTGTTCTAAAGAGCCAGCGACGGATTCCAGAGCACGGCAGAAGGCTTCTGCCACCAGCTGAAGTTCTGCGTGAGTGTATCTGTCATCTCTGAGGATGCTTCCTGGCTCGTGACGACTCTAAAGAGCAATCAAAAAACCCCAATGAGAACACATAGAAAGCAATTTCTATTGTAAAATCATGTATTTTCTAGAAATGCATTCAGAAAATGTTTTCGACATTTGTGCAAACATTTCTAGAAAACAAATTATTTGGTCCAAACTTTCCTCATAAGGTTCCTTCTTACTTACTTTTAGCTACTTTGGGTTCTTTAGCAGGGTCAGCTGGCCTGTTGGTGATATAAAAGGGTGTGCTACCAGTCATGATCAGAATAAATGAAGCCGAATCAACACCATCACCAACTATTCTCAATGACTGCCCAGCAGTGTGTTTTAACTTGTGAAGGTAACAAGGTCGAATCTATTTAACCCAGGCCTTTTACAGACATTGGAACAGGTTCTTGGAGACTAATCTTCCAAATCAAGCACTTAATCCTATTTAGCAAAATGGCTGATTTATTTAAAATGAGAACCCACATGTTAAGAAAACAAAAATCATTTAGGGACAAGTGAAATTTCCATACCAATGTTTTAAAGATGGATCTTCTTGTTAGCTTAATTAAAGGGTAATTTGACTTGAAATAGCTTTTTTGGTTGTCCCATGCCAAAAATGTTTATCCTAGACACTTGATAGTAACCAACCCCACCCGCTGGTGTTGCATCAACTCTAACTCCTGGTGACTCTCCCAAGGCTACAGTCTTTCCTGAAGGAGCCCGCCTCATCCTTCCACTGCTGCTGGGTTTGAAGAGCTGACGTGCTGCTTAGCAGATGAGTGTTTTAACCACCAGAGTTTCACAAACTTCATAATAGAAAACAACATATTGTAAAGTCCATAATGGTTATTGAAGCTCAACATCAAGAAAACAAAGATTCTCACCACTGCGCCAATTGACAGCATCAGTATGGATGGTGAAGAGATTGAGATAGTTAACAGTTTTAGTTTGCTTGGCTCCACAGGCAACACTCTTGGTACCAGCAGCCAGGAAATTAAGAGACAAATTGCACTGGGAAAGCCAGCTGACTCAAGAGTACTGAAGAGCAATGACATCAGGCTGGAGACTAAGGTGTGCCTGATCCGAGATACAGTCTTCACAATTATGTGCTATGCACTGGAAAGTTGGACAGTGACTATGAATCACAGAAAGAGAATTGATGCCTTTGAACTATGGTGCTGGAGAAAAGTGTTGAATATACCATGGACTGCTAGAAGAACAAACAGGTTTGTCCTTGAGAAGGTAAAGCTGGAATGCTCCTTGGAGTCAAGGATTCTGAAGCTTCATCTGACATACTTCGGGCATGTTGCAAGGAGGAGAGGGACATCATGATTGGGAGAGTAGAGGGACGGCGCAGGAGAGGAAGACCCTCAATGAGATGGATCGAGTCTTTGAGTGGAGCAATGGGAATGAGTGTGTCGGTGATGGCGAGGTTGGCACAGGACAGAGCAACACTTAGGGATGTTGTACACAGGGTCGCTATAAGTCACAAGTGACTCAACGACACATTAACAACAAGTACTTAAAAAGTAAAGTGACCACCATTTCCCCCCCAGAATATAAGAACCAGATAAGATCATCAACATTCAATATGTATATGTAGACAGTATGAATAGAAAGTGACCATTTGCTAAAAGATTAAAAGTAAACTTTACAAAAATGTTGTTAGGTGCTGTGAAGTCAAGTATGACTCACATGAATCCTATGAACAAAAAAATCTAAGCCCTGTCCTAACCTGTGCCGTCCTCATCATCTCTGACGCACTTGGGCCCGTTGCTGCAGTCATTGTGTCAATCCATCTTTTTGATGGTCATCTTCTCTTCTCCTGACATTTCCAAGCACGAAGTCCCTTTACACAAAACAGCCTCTCCTAGCAACATGCCCAGACCATGTGGGATGAAGCCTCCCCATCCTTACCTCTCAGGAGCACTTTGCACTTTTACCAAGACTTATCTGTTGGTGCTTTTGGCTGTCCATGGGATATTCAGTACTCTTTTCCAACACTACAACTCCAGCACCACAAGTCAAAGGTATCAATTCTTCTTTTCCAAGCCTTATTCACTGCCCAGCTCTCAGACGCATAGGAAGTGAATGAAAAGACGACAGCCTGAATTAGGCTCACTTTAGTCTTAACTGCTCCTCAGTGATTTGGAGAGGTCCCTGACAGTGGACTTACTCAAAGCAATGTGTCTCCCAATCTCCTGCCTGCTGGTACCAAAGGTGCTGAGTGTTTGTCCAAGTAAGGTGAAATCATTGACAATTTCAATTTTTTTTTTCTCCATCTATCATGATGGTGATTATCAGCCCAGTGGTGAGGATTTCTGTCTTCTTGATGTTGAGATGGAATCCATATTGAAGGCTGTAGTCTCTGATCTTTTGCAGCACGCACTTCTCCTTCTCCTTTTAACAAGCAAGGTTGTGTCATCTGCCTAACATAGGTTGCTGATGAGTCTTCCTCTGCTCTCAATGCCACATTCTTCTTCAGAGTCTAGTTTCTAGAATGATTGCACAGTGTACAGATTGAATAGGTATGGAAAAAGGATATGACCCTGACACACACGTTTCCTGATTCTAAACAATGCAGTGTTCCTTGTTCTGTTCAGACAACAGCTTCTGGGTCTAAGTATAGGTTTTATATGGGCATAAGTAAATGTTCTAGATTCTCATCTTCTCAAAGTTAGACATAATTTGTTATAATTCACAAAACCAAATGCCTTTGCATAGTCAATAAAATACAAATAGATACTTTTCTGGTATTCTCTGCTTGCAGCCAGGATCCATCTGACATCAGCAAAGACATCATGGCCTCTTCTAAACCCAGCTTGATTATCTGGCAGTTCTCTGTAGAGTACTATTGTAGTCTTCTTTTTCCTTTTCTTTTTTTGGATAATCTTCAGTAATATTTTGCCTGCATGTAATAGTAATGATATTGCTCAATAATGTTCACATTCTGTTATATCATCTTTTTTGGGAATGGGAACAAATTTGCATCTCTTCTAGTCAGTCAGCCAAGCAGCTGTGCTAAAAATTTCCTGGCATAGACTGGTGAACACATCCATTATTAGCTGAAACATGTCAATTGGTATTTGATTGATTCCTGGAGCCTTATTTTTACCAATGCCTTCAGAAGAGCTTGAACTTTTTCCTTCATTACCACTGGCTCTTGTTCATATGGTACTTTTTTACATTATTCAATGTCAACCAATCATTTTTGGTATTGTGACTCTGTATTCCTTCCATCTTCTTTTGATGCTTTCTGGAGCATTCAAAATTTTGCCCATAGCATTTCTCAAGTATTACCAACTTGAGGCTTCATTTTTCAGTTCTTCCCATTTGAGAAATACCAAGTATGTTCCTACCTTTTAATTATCAAATTGAAGCTTTTTGCCCATTCCATTATAATACCTGACTGATTCTGTCCTTTTCAGCTGCCCTTTGAAATCTCCTGGTCATCTCTTTTATGCCTGCATCTCTTCCCTTTGTTTTGGCTTTTCAATGCTCTACGGTAATTTTCATAGTCTCTTCTGTCATCCACTGTGGTAATTTCTTTTCTTTCTGTCTCTGTAACGTGTGGACCTGTTTTAATCTTCTTCACCTTCAATTTGAACTTAAACATGAGTAACTGATGGTCTCAGCACTTGGCCTGGGTCTGACTGTTGATACTGAGCTTCTCCAGTGATTCTTTCCACAGATGTAGTCAATCTGCTTCCTGTGCAGGTGAGGTCCATACAGCCTTAAAGTTGCCTTATGCATTTTTTTAAAAAGGTATTTGCAATGAAAAAAAATCATTGAACATACAAAATTCAATCATTTGATGTCCTGCCTTATTTCTGTTAGCAAGTCCATACCTCCCGACTACCCTTCCTTCCTCATCATTTTTGGTTCCAGTCACCAATAATTATTAATGCATCTTGATTGCATGTTTGGTCAGTTTTGGGCTGCAAAAGTTAGTTGTTGTGCACCTCAGAGTCAGAACTGACCATAGCTGGTCCTTAGGCAGGTTTTCAGAGGCAGGTTAATCACACAGGAGGAGACTGCCCATCCTCTTCCTGTGAAACAGCCTCAGACCATGTGCCTTCAGGACTGCAGTGCAGCTTCTTGCCACCAGGCCACCAGAGCCCTCTGCAAAAGTTGACAGAAGTCCTCAATTTCCTTCTCTGATGGCACTTGTTTGTATATATACTTAAACGATAGTTGCATTAACAGGTCTTCCTTGTATGTGCATGGATAGTACTCTTATCACTCTCAACACTGTACTTTAGGACTGACCTTGAAATTTACTTTTTCACTATGAATAGCAAGAATCGTATGACCTGCTAAGTGTGCGTGTTACTTTTGTCAAGCGTTTTAGAATATCATGCCTGACTTAGAGTGCTGAGAGTTTAAGTGTCAAAGGTTTCTGGAGTAAGTGTTAAAGATTATAAATTGGCTTATTTATCTCACAAAAGAAAAGTTGCTGAGAATTTGGATAATTTGCAAAGAAAGACTATCCATCCTACCTTGTGTCTGATATATGCAGCCACATGAGTTTCAGTACAGCCACCTCCCAAAAACACAAATGGTTCCTTGATTGTTAACCGCAAGACATGCAGTGCTGTCTGGCATGTGAGCTGAAAAAAAAAACACCAAACCCATGAAATATCAGACCCACAAAGAAGGTGAATGAGGCTTTCAAAACACAGAAGACTATGAACCCTGATTTTTAAATGCAAAAGAACAAAACAAAGGCTGCCAAGGTTCTAATGATGAATACATTGTTATTGTTGTTGTTGCTATTATGTGCCGTCGAGTCATTTGAGACTCATAGTGACCCCACGTACAAGAGCCCTAAACTCTGCTCTATCCTGTGCCAACCTCTCTGTCTCCAACACATCCACTCCCATTACCCCAATCACTGAATCGATCCATCTCATCAAGGGTATTCCTCTCCTGCGCTGTCTCTTCACTCTCCCAAACATGACTGTCCTCCTCCAAGGACTGATCCCTCCTTGCAACTTGCCTAATGTATGTCAGACAAAGCTTCAGAAACCTTGATTCCAAGGAGCAGGCCAGCTTCACCCTCTTCAGGACAAACCTGTTTGTTCTCCTAGCAGTCCATGGTATATTCAACACTCTTCTCCAGCGTCACAGCTCAAAGGCATCAATTATTCTCTATCACCCCTAGTCACTGTTCAGCTCTCTGATGCATAGCACACAATTGTGAAGATCATGGCCTGTATCAGGCGCACCTTAGTCTCCAGCCTAACATCGTTGCTCTTCAGTACTCTAGAGAGGTCCCTGACAGCTGACTTTCGGAGATGAAATATACTTTAGCCAGATATTTCTTATTATGCAGCTTCATTAACATTTTCTTTTCACAGACAGTGAGCTCAACTTGAGATTCACAAATAGATGGCCTTGAAATATCTGGGTCAGTCGTGCTTGCTGGGATTTCTATTAAAAATAAAATGACTTCAGGCTAAAGAAGTTAGTTCTATAAATACTATAGAAGTCATTTCAAATTGCTTTGCAAAAGATACAGCTACAACCGAGTAATAACAGAAAATCCAGAGATGTGTACTGTTCATCAAGGACATATCCTCGGGCCCACAGAACTGCCACATTTGGGACAAGTGCCCCAAGTTATAGCTTCCCTTACGCTGTGTGTGTCATCACAGGGAGAGACCAACCAACTCTACCAAGTGGAAAATGATAGTACTGGCTGGGGAATTATTTTTTTTGACAGAAATTATTTATACAAAATGTATTAAAGAGTACACATTTACAATTAGTTTTTTAGGGAAAGAAATTCAATTGATTTATAAAAAATATACAGTAGCATTTGCCTGGTCTACTGTAATGCCTCAGGCAAATAAACTAGCTTACTTGCAACTTTGCATCTCCAGTTTTATTTCTGCTTTAAGTTGCATAGTTGGGAGATCTGGTGGTTTGGTAAATCTCCTAAACTATTTACTATCCCCAAACCCCCCTCGGAAGGTCATGGCACATAACAACAACAGCTCACATACTGAGGTTATCAGGGTGGAAGTATAATGACACAAAAATTGGCAGAGACATAAAATAAAAACAAGCTGTAATATCTGTGTGAGTCACTACTTCCTTGCCTCCATCCTTGGACATAGGATTCAGTTTGCCACCTACCTTCAGCTCATCCCAGGCAGTGTCACTTCTGTTACAGAGGAGCAAGCTGGAAACAGTCACCTCACTAGGAATGAGATGGAAGAAATGCTTGGAGCCGAATGTTGCAGAGCACAGATCCTTCACACATCCGAAACTACTTGGAGAGAATGAGCCGAGGGTACCAATAAGCTGTGCTCCTATTTTTCAAAGTTTAGAAAACACAAAAGATATAAGCAAAAATGGAACATACATTTAAAATTTTCATCATCCCCAGACAGTATGAAGGGAGCTCTGGTGGCCTAGTGGCAAGAAGCTGTGCTGCAATCCTGAGGGCATGTGGCTCGAGGCTACCAGCTGCTCTATGGAAGAAGGATGGGCTATCTCCTCCCATGTGATTAACTGCCTCTAAAAGCTCTCTACGGATTCAGCTATGGGTTGGTTCTGACTCTACAACAACAACCAGACAATATAAACATCACATGAAGCATACAATTTAAAATATTAAGTGTATTGTTGTTACATGTCATCAAGTTGAAACTGACTTTTCTGAGGCCATAAATCACATGAGGAGACTGTCCATCCTTCTCCCACAGTGCAACTGGTGGATTTGAACTGGACTGGCAGAGCACCTCCTTACCCACCAGAGCTCAAAGTTAAATACTATTACCTTACCACTAAAGTAATATCCTGCAATTAAAATGACATCTAAATGAAGCCCAGCACAGACACTTCTTTTGATTTACAGATTCTGACAATCTGTCGGAAAGTTTTCATATTCCTACCTAAGAAAAACATGTGCAAAATTTTGCACCCAATTTTGGGTAGTGCAGATCTCTGAAAAACTACTGAGGGGTTAAAAAAAAATCTAATAATGATTTCATTAATCTAGAGTAGGGATAAAGCCAGGGGACAGGCTATTTTATGAGTTTCCTGTGAAATTAACAATAAAATGATCCAAGTGTCAAGCCCCAGCAAGTAGGCCCTGACTCAGCAACTTTACACACAAGAGAAGGAGACACTACCTGCACCACCCCTCACAACCTCTCGGCCACTTAAGCCCACTGGTTCAGTCAGTGTCAACCAATCTCCTTGACTGTTCTTTTTTGACTCTCAACTTTTTCCAGGCATGCTGTCCATCTCCAGGACCTAGCCCTTCCTGATAACAAACTCAAAGTCAAGTCTTAGCATCCTCATCACCAAGGAGCATTCTTGCTACACTGCTTCCAAGGCAATTTGCTTTTCCTTCTAGCAGTCACTGGAAACATCGAGATAAAATGCATCAGTTCTTCTTATTCACTGTCCAACTTTCAAATGTATATTGTTTTTGTGAGGTGTCACTGAATTGAGTACAACTCTTAGTGACCCTGTCCTATCCTGTGCCATCCTCACAATCTCTGACACACTTGAGTCTACCGCTCCATGCTGTTGAGGTTCTTCCTCCCTTTTGCTGACCCTCCATCTTTCTAAGCATGCTGTCCCTCACTAGGGAATAGTCTCTCCTAGCAACAGAGGAAGCATCATCATTTTTGCTTACAAGATGCATTCTGACTCCACTCTCTCCAAGACATATCCATTTGTTATTTTGGCAGTTTACTGGATATTCAACACTCTTCTCCAATATCACAGCTCAAAAGCATCAATTGTTTGTCACCCTTATTTACTCCAGCTCTCACATGAACAGCAAATGACTGATAAGACCATGGCCTGAATCACGTGTACCTTAATCCACAAACTGACATCATTGCTCAATTTGAAAAGGTCCCTTCCTGCAGATTTTCTCAGTCCAATGTATCTCCTGATCCCCCGACAGCTAACACAAAAGGTGTTGATAATGGGTCCAAGTAAGATGAAGTTGTTGATAGTGTCAATCTCTTCTCCATGTATCATGATATTGTCTATTGTATAGTAGTAAGAATATTTGTTTCCTGATGTTGAGAAGCAATCCATATTTCAGGCCACATTCCTTGATTTTCTGCAACGAGTTCCTCAAGCTCTCTTTTCAGCAAGCAAGGTTCTGTCATCAGCATAATGTATAGGTTATTGATGAGTCTTCCTTTTATTTTGATGCCATATTTTTTTCATAGAGCCCAACTTCTTGAATAATTTGCTCAGCATACAGATTGAATGGGTAATGGAGCTAAGATACAAGCTTGGCACACAACTTTAATTTCAAACCATGTAGTTTTCCCTTGCTCTATTCACACAACAGCCTTTTGGTCTTGCCTGAGCACATAAGTGTTCTGGGATTCACATTCTTCTCAATGTTAGCCATAATTTGTTATGATCCACTGTCAAATACCAGTGCATAATCAATAAGGCACAAATAAAAGAGTCTTCTGGTATATTTTGCTCTCGGCCAGGATCCATTTGACATCAGAAATGATATCCTGATGCCACAGCCTGTTCTGAATCCAGCTTGAACTTCTGTCAGTTCTCTACATACTGCTCTAGCCATTTTTGAATGGTCTTCAGCAGTCTTTTTCTTACATGTGATAGTAATGACATTGTTTCATAATTTCCACATTTCTGTTGGATCACCTTTCTTAGGAATGGGAACAAATATGGATCTCTTCCACTCAGTCAGCCCAGAAGCTGCATACATCTTAGGTAATTGAAAAATAGCTGTGCCAAGTGTACTTTAGTCTTTAAATGACAATATTTAAAATGCTCTTTATTCAGCACTTTAAAGTTCTTGAAAGCATTATTTGGCTATTTGATCAAACATGTCATCTGATTTCCCGAGCACTGCTTCCATGAATATTGATTATCTATCCATGTCAAAAGAAATCTTTTAACTTCAATCTTTTCTCTATTTAGCATGATGTTGCTTATTGTTCTAATTGTGAAGATTTTTGCTTTCATCCTGTTGTTGTTGTTAGGTGCTACTGAGTCAATGCTAATTCATAGTTCAACAAATCAAAATCTTGCCCAAATCCTGCACCATCTGCACAATTTCCCTTGTGTGTAAGCCTGTTCATGTGGTCTCAGTGTCAGTCCACATCACTGTGGATTTTCCTCTTTTGCTAACCCTCCACTTCTCCTCCAAGCATGAAGTCCTTCTCCAGGGACTGATCCCTCCTGATAACATGCCCAAAGTATATGGGATGAAGTCTCACAATACTTACCTCTAAGGAGCACACTAGGGAGATCTGGTAGCCTAGTATCAAGAAGCTTCACTGCTCCTGCAGCGTGGACAGGTAGACATTTGAGACACTTTAACCCCTGCTTGGCATCACTAGGTTGGTGTTTAAGTCATTTGAAAATATATTATTTTTGCAAGAAAAAAAAAAAAGAAGCTTCACTGCAAATCCAAAGGCATGCAGTTCAAGGCCACTAACTGCCCACAGAAGGATGGACAATCTCCTCCCATGTGGTTAATGGCTTCAGAAAACCTGCCAGAGGGTCTGCTATGAGTCAATTCTGATTCTACGGTATACAAGAAGGAGCATACTGGCTACAGTTTTACTCAGGTTTTTTCTTTTGACAGCCCACAGTATATTAAATATTCTTAGCCAGCATCACAATTCAAAGGCGTCAGTTCTTTGGTTTACCTCATCCATAATCCAACTTTCACACACATATGAAAATATCATGGTTTGGTGTGCAGGTGTAATTCATACTGAACGCTTTGACTTTTTTATTATTGAAAGCTTTATGTCTTCTTTATTTTCTGCAAGTAAGGTGGTATAAATTACTTGTTAATGAGCCCCCTCCAGTTCTAGTGCCATATTCTCTTCCATCTAGTCTAGCTTCTAGGATTATGCTCATCATACAGTTTGTATAAACATGGTGATAAGGATACAATCTTGATGTACACCATTCCTGATTTTAAACCATGCAGTGTCCCCATGTTTCATGTAGACATCATCCACTTTTCTGTCCTTGTACAAGTTCTGCATGAACACAACTAAGTTTTCAGGAATTCTCATTCTTCACAATGTTAATCTAAAAATTATGATACAGTCAAATGCTTTACACAGACAACAAAACAAAGGTAAACATCTTTATAGTGTTGTCTTGAGTCAAGATCTGAGGCCAGCAATATCCCTTAGTCTATGACCTCTTCGGAATTCAGCTGCTGAGTTGATTCTGACTCAAGAGTGAATCTATGGGCAAATTGAAATCTGGCCCTTTCCTGCACCATCCTTATGATCTCTTCCAGACTCAAGCCCATTGTTACAGTCACTGTGTCAATCCTTCTTGTTAAGGGTCTTCCTGTTTTCTGACCCTCCAGCTTTCTTAGTATGACGCTTCTCCCCCCAGGACTCATCCCTCCTGACAACATGCCCAAAGTATGTGAGACTACGTTTTACCATCCTTGCCTCTATAGTTTTACTTCCTCCAAGACATTGTTCAATACACTTCTTTTGCCTTCTTCTTCACTGTCCAACTTTCAGATGCATATGTGGCAATGAAAAGTAACAAGGCTTGGGTCAGGTGCATCTCAGTCTTTAAACTGACATCCTTGCTCTGCAGCACTTTACAGAGGTCTTTGTCAACAGATTTGTCCAATGCAACACATTTCTTGATTTCTTTTAAAATTTTATACTGGTTTACATACAACATCTCTTGTTTTCTTAAGACTCTAGCTAACATGGGTATTGATTGTAGATCCAAGTAATACAAAATAATTGACAATTATCAGTCTTTTCTCCATCTGTGATGTTGGCTATTGGTTTAGTGGTGAGGATTTTGTTTTCCTGATGTTCAAATATAATCCATACTGAAGGCTATAGGAAAGACTACAGAAAGTGCTTCAAGTCTTTCTTTACTCTGTTAATTTTGTGTCATTTGCATAATACAGTTTATTGACTATCTTTCTCCAATCTTGAATTCAGCTAATGATTGAAGATCAGATGAATCATGAGAGGACACCAAAGGTACTGCACATAAAGCAAAAGACCATCAAAAAGATGACCAAATTATATGTCATGTGTCATGTCAGAAGAGACTCTACCACCTGCACCAGTATGTAGAGACATGAAGCACAAGGAAGAAATGATGAAAAGGGCAGAACAGTGCATTTCAAAGGGCAAGAGAAGGTAAAGCCAAGTATTATAGTGAAATGGGCAAAAATATGGAGTTAGAAAAGCAAGTGAGAATAACATATGACATTTCTTAAGCTCAAAGAACAGAAGGAAAACAAAGTCAAACCTCAAGTGGCAATACAGAAAGATTCTATGGGCAAATATTGAATGATGCAGGAAGCACCCAAGAGGGAAAGCATACAGTCAATGCACCAAGCAGAGTTACTCAACACTTAACCATTTCAGGAGGGAGCATATGATCAAGAGCCAACAGTACTTAAGTCCAAGCTGTACTAAAGGCATTGGCAAAAAAAAAAGGCTCCAGGAATTGACTGAATACCAGTTGAAGTGTTTCAACAAACAGATGCAGTCCTGGATGTGTTCACTAGTTTATGTCAAGAACTATGGAAGACTGCTACGTGGCCAACCAACTAGAAGACATCCTTATTTGTGCCTGTGTATTTCTTTTAAGTGATCCAAAATAGTGCAAATATTACTGAACAATTTCATTATCACATGCCACTCTTGCTAATTTAAAAGTATCTGGAACATTCAAAAAAGGTGCAGAGAATGTCATTAGTGCTGTTATTTGTGAATAGTAAGACTTTTTGTTTTAATTGCGCAATCACTTGTATGCAAGTAGGTATATAAATTATGCATAAAAGTATGTGAAATATGTCCTTCTGGTATTCTGTGGTATCTTCTTTTCCCCTCTCTCTTCCATTACAGACAAGTCAGGGAATAAAATTTCACAAACCACAGATTAATGTAATATGAAGAAGTTACGGTTATTTGAGTAGTATTTCTTTGAGCACTTCATCTCTGTGGGGTTGAATTCTCCTCTTTTAAACTGAGTTAAACAATGACTTTTTAAAAATCACTGCTAGTTCTAAAAAAATTTTTTAAGAACCCCAAAATAATCATTGGCTACTTTTCCTTTTTAAGATATCCTTTTTTTTACACTGCAGAAAATTCTTAACTGTAATATATAACTTAAAAGAAAAAGAAAATGCCTAGATATTGTGTAATTCCACATCCAGGAAATAACAGAGCACCAGAGTGAATACTCAGCTTTCTTGTCCATCAGCCATCAGGGGTGGAGCAAGCCACAGGACCCCTTCCCTTTTCTGGGCAGGCTTTCGCATATGAGAGAAATAGAAAAGACCATGACCCCTTGACAAAGAAATCACACCCCACGTTAACAATGCTCTGTAAACAAAAGATTGCTGCCCAAATGTTGGCCATCCACACAGTAACACCTGCTTAAACTGTAATGTTGACCTAAAGACATTAGATGTTTAGGCTGAGTATGTGACCTTGTAGGGAAAAGAGCTGTTATGCCAACCCAGGCAGGCAATTCAAATTCACCAGCTGCTCCTTGGGAAAAGATGGGCAATTTCCTCTGGTCTGATTTACAGCCTCTGAAAACTTGCTGGAAGATCAGCTATGAGTCAATTCCTCCTTGATGGTAATGAGTGAATGAAGCTAAGCAGCTAACTATCCTAACTTTTATCTAAGTAATGTGCATAAATATTCCTGTCTCCAGGATATCAGTTCTCAAGATATGGAATTGATGTTACAGCTATTAATGCCATGCTTTAGTCCCACATAGGATGAAAAATAGAAAGCTGGGCAGAAAACCCTGTCCTACCTATACTGATAGTAGAGGAAATGGTTTCATATGTTTAAAGCAATAAACTGGAATATATTCTTCAGAGTAAAAATCACTTGTTAAAAGCCAATAAATATTTAAGAATATAGATCTGATCTTCAGTATCAGAATACATTGCCCTTGTAGGATCATGTCACAAGTGTATAAATGCAAGGCAATAAGTTAAAGATAACATCTCTTATCACTAAGCTAAAATGTTGATTTTTCCTGATTTATGAGACTGAAAACAGTGGAGTTCAAAACTAGTCTAATGGTTTTAAAACTACAATCAATACTGGACTAAACAGACTAAAGTCTAAGTCTATATAACAAGGATGCCCATTTAGTTCAGCATTAATTGTAGTTTTTAGGAGATACTGAAGTGGCTGAAATAGACTCTTCAAAAATCACCTGCTTTCTCTAGCTCGAACACGTGAGCTATCAGTCTGATAAATAATTTTAGTGTCATTTTGCGAAGTACAGCAAATTTCCTGTTCAGTATAGTCTCTTACTAAATATAGCACTCAATTCAAGAAACATTACAAAATGTCTACTTTTAGCCAGTCTTGCTCTAAGTGCTGAAAAGAAAACCTGGCCCTTTCTCTGAGGCTAAGCTGTAACTGCCAGGGGATTTGGTAAGTGCACTTAACTCTATCCCCCAAATTGAACTATGAAGCACACTATGCAGATGGAGCCTGCTGGATTTATGATAAAAGTGAAGTGGAAAAAAAATCTTCTATCCACAAAATAGTTTCCTGATGGAACATGTAGTTTAGGAGCTTTGTAAAATTCCAACTCAAAGTGTTTTGTAGAAAGTGGGAAAGATCTTGCGATTTTGAGATTGTTGGGCTTCTTGGGTAATTTGTAAACAGTTGATGATTAATGGCTCTAGATGCTAATTCTCTAGAACATTTGGGGGCTGGAAAAATGGTCATTGTCACTGAATCATTATTAACAAGTGAATGATATACAGGAACCACCTCTGCTGACAGAAATGGTTCCTGTCTACACTATGAGACTCACGACTTCTAGACTTTCTAAGCAGCTAATACAGTGACACAATATCAAGACTACCTCTGCTCAAAGCAGCATGATCCATCAAACGTAAAGGGTGAATGGTGTGGCTGCTCTTTACCTGTCATTTTACTCAGCGGATCCATCAAAGCCACTCCAACTCTGTCTATGGCAATAGCATTATGCGCACTGAGAAACTGTTTCAAAGACGGGTGTATGACTTTTTGGCAAATGACAAGCCCCACATGGGCTCTGACAAGTTCCTTCCCTAGGCTAAGCAGCTGGTCCAGGGCTGCCCTTTCAAGATGTACTCCATAACTGACCACCAAAGTCCCTTCTCCTGTTTCAGCAAGGTCTCCGGACAAGGATACACAGAAGAGCGCCACCTTCAGGACACCTGCTTTTTTGGAAGCTAACAGCCTCAGCATCTGAACCTCTGATGTTTCAATGAGAATTCCAGGGAATACGGTAGAATCTACAACCCTGTGATCTTTGAAAGGCACAATGATACTCTTTCCTAAAATGACGCGGTCCTCAGCCTTTTCTGGAATTGTTAGCAAGAAAGCTCTCAGAACCAGAGCACTGAGGTAATCGACTTCCTTCCTGGTGAGGCTGCAGGCAGGCTTACTGGTTAATACAGTGCGTACCAAGCCAAGGAGGACAGGGGTGCTACTAAAATCCACTGCCAACCGACACCCACACCCCTCAGATTTCAGGTAATGGGTGCAAAGGCTCAAAAGCAGCCTATTTAACTCAATGACAGTGGTAGGGGTCACGTCTATGCCCTGGCCACTTTCAATCAGGTTGCAGCAAAGGATGGCCATGAACAAGCCACAGTCACTGAAGCAGGACACATGATTCTGCATGGACGTAGTGATGATCTTCAGCACGGGATGGGTTACCAAGAGCCTCTGGAGCAGAGCTGTGGACTGGGACGTGGTGCACACGTGTCCTCCGACGTCGTTGTGCAGCTGTTTCAGCCGCCCCGAGGGGCCGTAGCAGGATGTAACAATCCCTCTGAAGACGGACAGCGTGGCCCTGACCCTCGCATCTGTGAGTGGTTCACTTTCACATGTTGAGGGCTTTTTAGCTTCTAAATGAAACATTTTACTTCATAAACGTGTGGAGTCAGCTTTTATTCATTAATCTTATTTTTCTATGTATTACCATTTCATGGGTTGTGATGTTCAAGAAAAATTACTCTTCCAGAATCAGAGTCTGAATATGAGGCAGTGTGATTATAAAATTAAATGGTTCCATGTTTATAAAGCTAGTTGGAAAAGAATAATTTCATGACATATTAGTAATTCTAAATATTTATTTCACTTCATTCTTCGATACTCTTCTGTTTGCCTCCAGACTGTGATTTTACAGACTGTTTTGCAATCCTCTGTATAAAATATGTCCCGAGATGGACACCGATGAAAGATACCCCAGCTACCAGGAGCCAGTTCTTTCTAATCCAACTGACGTTTTTCATCTCTCCTTTCAAGATCAAACTCACATCCAAAGCTGTGTCTTTCTAGAACAAATGAATAAAGAAAACATTTTAGAAAGGATTCCAAGATATTTTTAGGTTACAATTCATTCATTTATTGTAATGCTATGTTCTTTTTTTTAAAAAAAGCACAGAAGATTGGCAAAAGAAAGCTAACTAGCCTCTAGAAAATGAGAAATGTAAATCAATTTAGACTTAACATTTTTATAACTCTAAAATGAATACCTGGCAGAAAAACTTCTTATATTTCAAAAATTTGGCATGCATAACAGTTAAAAAACTTAAAAGTACAGCTATTAAAATGTGACATTAAGAGATAGGCTACATTTTATCACCACATCATAACTACAGAGAATTACAACTTACAATATTACAACCTAAAGAACTTTGTTTCTGAGTTTTACAAAAGGTCCCAAATGTTTGTATCCTCTTACATGGAAATTTAATATTTTGATTTTATCTGTAACTGTGATTTTCTTGGAAACCTTAGGTCTGAAGAAAAGTGCCTGAACATAAAATTCTACTTGTAAGTAATTAGGACAATAAGACAACTTGTTTCAAAGGCAGAAGCAAGCAAGCAAGCTATCTATCTATCTATCTATCTATCTATCTATCTATCTATCTATCTATCTATCTATCTATCTACAAAGCTTTAACATCACAATGATTTGTTTCTTAAAGAAAGATTTAATCTAGAAGATATCCCACATTGCCAGGGAGGTATTTATTATTCCTAATGAGCTCTGGTGGTGCAGACTGGAGAGAGCTGCAGTGCTAACTCAAGGGCAGCAGGTCCACCAGAAGCTCGGAGGGAAGAAAGGTGGGCTGTCTCCCTCTGCGTTGTCTACAGCCTCCAACACCCATTGGAGAGGGTTGCTTATGAGCTGGTTCCCAAATGACAGCAATGAGTGAGTGAGTCAAAGACTATACAGACCTGCTAGTAAATTTGTTATTGTTAAATGCAACTGAGTCAATTTTCAACTCAAAGCAACGCCTCTGGAGGACATTATGCTGAGTGAAATATCTCAGTCACAAAAGGACAAATACTGCGTGGTGCCACTGTTGTAAAACAGGACTGACCTCGGGGTTGTGGGGAAACTAAGAAAGATGGGATAAATTATGTATACTGCATTAAAACAGATGAGGGAGAAAACTGTTTAAGAGGGATATGTGATTAGCTATTTTTGTCATGATAGGAGTCCAGAACAAAGGCTGCATAGTGGAGTGGACTTGCGGGGGAGGGATTGTAAAACAATGAAAGAATTTTTCTTTTATTTTTCAAAGAGAAGAGTGTACTGGGGGGATGGAGGGGTGGGCAGGGAGAAAAGTGCAACAATGAATGAATGGAAATTCAAAGTCTCTGTAAATTTTCATTGAACTTAATAATAATAATAATAAAATTTTTAAAAAAGCAACTCCTTACAGTGCCACCCAAAGGTAATAAAGGAGGTCAGAACTGCTTCCACTGTGGAAAGCTGGGCCACTTCAGTAGACAGTGTCACAGACGAGAGCCACAGATAGGCAAGGGAGTAGAGAGGAAGCTCCCACTCACTTGCTTTAAGTGTGGCTCTGAAGGACACGTGGCCAAGGTGGCCCACATCAGGTCCTCGTGGCTGACAGGACTGACCGGCCCCAGCTCCCAGCTGGAAACAAAGGAGGACGCTTCAACGATTTAGATCCTCCCAGAAGAGTCGTGGATAAGCATTAACATTACTGGTAAGTATATTCATTTTCTCCTGGACACAGAGCCTCCTAATTGGTCCTAAAAGCCTTCTGAGGTCCCAACTCTTCTTACTATCTCTTAGCTCTTGGAATGGACGGAAAACCTCATAAGCAGTTCCTTACTTCACCTCTACCTTGCATGTGAACTTCTGAGTTGTAAAACAGCCCAGTGGTAGATGGAATTTGCTCCAGGACTTAAGAAGCATAAATGACATAGCTGAGCCTCTACATCTTGTGGTTCCTAACCTGTACACTATAATAGACAAAGTGCTAGTCTATAGGCTTTTTATTGTAAAAACCACCTTCCCTCTGTAACTTGATTTGTGCCACTACTAGAACCTCTACTCGGAATATTACTGATTGTTAATTTTTGACTCATGTACTTTTAACTTGTTAGTTAAATTTGTGTCTTCTAGGTTGCAACCCCCCCATGATACATCTTCAAGGATATGAACATGTACGGCTAAGCACAATTAATAACAGTAAATCTAAATTCCAAAATCAATCTCCATAATAGTCTATGTGTTTCCTACTGCCAAAGGGACCCTTTAGAGCAGTGAGAGAAGATCTTCACCCTGAAACCCACAGCGTCCCTTTTCAGCAGGAAGCAGCTAAGAGAATACGCCATCCCCTTTTCCTTATGAATCAGGATGAAGTCTCTCTCAGGGAGGAGTGATAGGGAATGGCAAAGGGCACACTGACAAAGGAGATTAATCAGAACTGGCTTTGACAAGCACTGTGGCAATGGGACAATTAAAACAGACATTCGGGGGGCGGGGAAGAAGAATGAACTGGGGAGGAGGGTAGAGAAAACAGTGCAACAATGAATGAATGAGAACCCAAAATCTCTGTAAATGTTCATTAAAACTAATAAAATTTAATAATAATTTTTTTTTTAAAAAGCAACTCCTGAAACCCAAAGACCATAGCTCTCTGTCCATCTTTGTACAAACCACACTTTAAACACCTGGCTACAGTCAGAGTTAATTTCCATAGTTCATTCCCCTAATAAATTATTTTCAGTTTTGAAATATTAACCAACTAATTTGGCTCTAAGCTATGACTAGACACAATAAATAAATAAAAAAAATATCAAGGAATGTTTTGGATGACTCATGAGAAAAATAGGATCAGATTTTCCCTTTAATCATAAAGCATCTAAAAAATGTATAATTTATCATGTGTCAAATGGACTGGCAGAAATGTAGTAATAGTTTCCTTAAAATAGGTAGCAACCAGGGTCTTAAAAGCTTTTGAGCAGTCATCTAAAATGTAACTATGGGTCTTTTTCTCCTTGTTGGGCATAAAGAAGAGAGAAAGCAAAAATACACTGACACAATTAGTCCAAAGACCTATTGGCCTACGCAACCTCACCTTCTATGACCCTGAGACCAGAAGACACAGATGGTGCCCGGCTACCATGCTGATTACTCTAAAAGGGATCAAAGAAGATCTTGGATAGATGAGTGAAATGTGGAATAAAACAAACAAAAAGCCAGGCTAACTGGCTCAAAAGAGTCTGGTGAAACCCCAAGACCACAGCCGTCAGACACCCTTCAGACATGAAATAAAACTCAACCCCTCCATGGCTCATTTCAGCAAAACAGGGCAGGGTGAGGATGGCACTCACGCCACAAAATAACCAACAATATAGGGTCCAAAGAGCAGTATTTGCCAAGGATAAAGTCCCGAAGGCAGAAGCAGGTAGGACAGGACTAAGGCAATGAGACATGCAAGGAGGACACAGGAAAAGAGAGATGACAGTATCGGTATTGTAACTAATGTTAGGGAAAAAATGTGTGTGAATAATTGAATGAAAAGCCAGTGTGTTTTCTAAACTGTCACTCAAATCATCATTTAAAAAATTAATAAAATAAGTAAGTGTATTGGTGGTTCCCAAATCATGTTCAGGATGCCAACATCTGCTGACTTGTGGCTAGATAAATGTTTTCATTCTGTTAACTGGCATAGGAGACCTAGAAGTGTAGTGAGTTACAAGTCAGGCTGTTAACTGGAAGGTCTAAATCTTTACAAAATAAGGTACAATGAAAGAAAAATTACATAAGAGCTTACGTACATGTTTGAAAGAATCTTCAGTTAGCTCGACCTAAGATTTTCCTTTTAAACAATATGACTGACAATTCCAAAGTTTACCATTAAATGAGAGGTTATCTAACTATGCCCTGTTGCACAGGCCTGTCTGTGAAGATGGAATTTCATCAGCAAGAGACAAGGTCATTAACAGTAAAGCTAGCATATTCCTTTGACTTGAAATTAAAATGTGATTTAATGAAATATTAAGAAATTAAACTTTTCTCCTACTACAAATAAGTCTCTTTGCTTTTGAGAAAGGATTGCTTTTAGATGTGATGCAAGAATATGTAAGTCAGGAAGCTCTCCTGCCAAAAAAGCAAAGATTACACTGAAAAGCAGGGGTCAAATTAAAAAAAGACAACAATGAGGTCATTCTGATAGAGAAGATGGGACAATATGAGCACTGAAACAAAAAATGACTATCATAGCCTGAGCTACTTCATTTATATGCAAATCCATGAGTTCCTAAGTCACTGAAACCCTCCAGTATTGTTGGAGTCATGCTTCTTATCAAAACCAATACACCACACCACGCACTGCTGTGGACTCGAGTCTGGCTCCTGACAACCCTTCCCTAGGGTTCCAAACTTTATGGGAGGAGTCTGTACATCTCTCCCCTAAATGATGGATCCAAACCACCAACCTTTTGGTTAGCAGCTCACTTCATAATTCCCTACAACACCAGGGCTTCTATCTGGTAAAGGAAGATAAAGCACCTTACCTGGGTTTTCCTGTACAGTCACTCTAGAACAATGGAACTGCTGGTAAGGGAAAGCTTGTTCATATAAATGG